GGCGATGGCCCCGGATCTCAGATTATGTTTCCCGAGAACGTTGCAAGGGCTTTGTCAAAGGGTCACAGTGTCGACATTCAGACACACGAGAATGTTTCTGTGGTGTACTGTGAAATCATCGGCTTTTCTGCCCTCACTGCCGAGCTGCCTCCATTGAAGATCGCGGACATGCTGCAACGTTTGCATGACCACTTTGATGTACTCTCTGACAAGCACAGCGTGTTCAAGGTCGATGTCTTGGGTAGTAGCTCCTGGATGGGAGCCACGAATTGTGTTCAGCATCAACCCGACCACACAGCGCGCATGGCAAAGTTTGTTATTGAAGCTATTGAGGCTGCAGGCACCACACTCATCGATGAGGATAATCCTGAGCGCGGTTATGTTCAAATCCAGACAGCAATGATATCTGGGGAGGTCAAAGCGAAAGTTGTTGGTACTCGCTCGCCCCGGTATTCACTGTTCGGGCCCATCATCGAGGCAGTCACATATCTTGCAGGGGAGAAGTCTGAAGCTGGCAAGATTGTGTGTACGGAGAGAGAACAAGGTGTCCTGGAGCGTAGGGCTCCTGAAATCCCAGTGTTAATCAAATCGCGTGTCTTCATTCCAGGTTTTGGCGCCACTTTGACTTTCTGGGTGAATGAGAAAAATTGAAAACCAACTGGGCGATGATTGGTTTGTGTGCTTGATTCCAGATGCCTCCCGTGATAGGATACGGTACATAAGATACATTTGTTTTTAGTTCTTTCATTGAATCTTCTCGTGAACGTCCCACCAAACTTGGCTAGCCAGCTGCATGTAGAAGCAACAGCCGTGCACGTGGTGCCTCTTCTCGTGCTCATCTTTCTCTGGGCACCGTTCGCCACTTTGCTTGAGTTGGATCTCTGAAGACACCTTCCGCGTTTTGAGGTAAAACTGGTATTGGCACAGCTCGTCTTGCAAGGCAAGAATTCTGTGGTTCTCTGTTTTTGTTTGCTTTCCTGGATGGTGGCACTGCTATCATACTGCCCCCGCTGGATAGAGAGTCGAGTCGAGTCTAATCACAGCTAGCTAGAGGTGCTTGTGTTCAGGAGCAACTGCGTACTGGTACTGGTAGCTTCATCTACGGACTCGACTCCTCAAATCAAGCTCATACAAGAAGCAACACAACTGCCACACCGCGGGTTCCGACACTCTCAACTCCATTCTTTGCTTGAAGGTTTGTGACGGCGAAATCAAGACCGCTAACCTAGACTGTATAATAAAAGAAGGCGGATGTGTGAGAGATCCGAGAACCAAACACTGTGCGTTGCTCAAAAGTTTCCCAAATGGTCAAAATGTAACCATCCAAATGGACGGAGCAAGATCGCTGGATTGCTGCTCTAAAGGTTTTGCTTGGGTGCCTCCATTGAGCCAGGTAGATCTAGACGACAAATGTCAGTCGAAAAACGGTGGATGGGTGATGGGCACAAGTACTAGCTAGCTAGCTAGCTAGCTAGTACTCTCCGTTTCGGTAATAGAGATAACCCAGTACATGTAGTACCAGTACCGGTGGCATGTACCGGGAGGTCAGTCTTTTTACACCAGGAGCGTGCCTCAATCGTGCATTGGGCGACTTTTTAGGGTAGGATTTAGGATCGGATATAGGGCAGAGTTTGAAACTCTGCCCTAAGTTTCAAAATCTGCCCTAATTTAGGGCAGAGTTTCAAACTCTGCCCTAAATTAGGGCAGAGTTTCATAGTATTTACTATGCAGTCCCGTTTTGTTTAGGGCAGAGTTTCAAACTCTACCCTAATTTAGGGCAGGGCTTCAAAACTCTACCCAAAAATTGAAACTTTGCCCTATTTCAAAACTCTACCCTATATCCTGGATTCCCCTTTTGAGGCACGCTCCTGATGTTGGCGCCCTCAATAATTGGAAAAAGTCTTCGAACCCGGCCCTGGTGCAGTCTATAGTCTTCTCCGCTGTGGCGGCTTATTTTGCATCTCTGAGAGTGAAAATCAGTCCCAGGCACACAGCAAGGTCCGGAATTCGGCCGATTTCAGTCGTGTATAGGTGGTTAGTTATACATGTTTTACGGAAATGAGACTTCTGTAAGTTAGGGAAGTTAGTTTTACGGAAATTTCCGTAGTCTAACTTATGGAAACTTCTCGTTGAACTGATAGATTTATGTAAATTTCCGTAAAACTAGTAGTTTTACGGTTTCAGTCGTGTTTACATTACCGTTCTACGATGAATTTCAACTGAGTTTCACGGAAATAAATTTACGGTTTTGAGTTCTACGGAAACTTTCCCTAACTAAAACGGCTAACTCTACGGAAATTTCGGTAAATTACGGAAGTTGAGTTTCCATAGATGTGAAATCCATAATTTACGGAAACTGACTCCCAGTCGTGTTTCAGGGCTCGATTCGGGACCTTGCAGAGCGACAAAGCTCTCTTGTGACGGCCGTTGGGCACTGGAGTTGACTTCTATTCAGGTATTCAGGTACTCGAGTAGAAATGGTGAATGGTGAATGGTGACAAGGAACAAGAAAAGAGTGGCAACTTAACAATTCCTTTCCTTGGTAGAGCGAGAGACAATGCTGCCGACCATGATGCGCCTTCCGCAGTCAGTGGCTCTTTTTTCAATTGTGATTGTACTGATAATTTCTGCCTCCGTTGGGGGCATTCGAGTACTTCCATCAGCTGCAAGATCTGCTGCGGGTGATGTTGTCTCTTCAATTCTGCAAGATCGACAGCAGCAGCAGAACCACGAAAGCAACAGTGACAGACATCGAGAATTGCCTTCAGTTGACGTTCCTTTTCCATCGTCTGCTGATGATCATGCAGTCAAGTCGTTGCCACTGTTGTCAGAGGGCACTTTGACCACAAAACACTGGGCTGGGCTGCTGCCGGCATCGGCTGGGGGAGATAAATACTTCTTCTATTGGTTGTTTGCTCCCGATACATCCCAGCATTCGGATCTGTCAGATAGTGACATTCCGCTGGTTATTTGGGTAAGTTAGGTTGTCCTCATGCTACCATTTTTAAAAAATCATATCCGTTGGCTTTTCTAACCCTTTGAGTTTCACTTGCTTGAACAAACAATCACATCGAATCAAATTGTTGTGCAGCTCAATGGAGGCCCTGGCTGCTCATCAATGGATGGCTTATTCCTGGAAAATGGTCCTTTGCGATTCGAGCGGAAAGATGGCAGTGGCAATTATCAGCTTGTTGCTGCACAGCACAGCTGGCACAAAACTCCTGCCTACATGCTGTACATTGACCAGCCTGTGGGGACTGGCCTCAGTTTTACTACTTCACGCAAGTACCCAAAAAATGACAAAGAGGTCGACACTGATTTTTACTACTTTTTGCAATCATTCCTGAAGGCACACAGTGATAAGTTCGTAACATCACAAAGATTAAACCGGCCCTTCTACTTCTCGGGCGAATCCCACGCTGGTGAGTTTCATTTGGTTTCCCCAAAGGTTGCATTGCTGCAAGCTAATTTATTTTGGATTCAATTAATAAGGGCATTACATTCCCTCCATGATGGCATTCATCTTGAATCAGAACAAGCAGCTGGGTTCAGATGGAATCTATGTGCCTCTTTCTGGGGCGGCCATTGGTAATGGATGGGTAGACCCCTTTCACCAATACGCTGCAGCTGAAGCGGCCTATGGCCATGGAATCATTGACCGGGCTCAAAAGGCAGCTTTGGCAGACAAAGAGAAACAATGCCAAGATGGTCTCAACCAGAAACGATACACAAGCGCAAAATGCTTCGATTTGCTTGATGATATTGTGAAACAGTCATATGGTTCGAAAAGCAACTTCAAAGTCAGTCAGTATGATGTTCGCCAAGTGGAATCTAGACGAGGATCAAGAAACTTCCCTCCAGGCCACAAAACCGTTGAAACTTATTTGGGTGGCAGAGGTAGTGCAGCAGGAATGACCACAGCGACAATGAACGATGCACTGCAAGCCATTCATGCCTCTGAATCTCGATCAGCAGGCCAAATGTACCAGGAATGCACCAACCCACCATATGATGCACTTAGCCATCAAGATGGTTTGGGTGTTGTCAAGGAGGTTGTCCAGGTTTTGGAACATGAGCCAGCAAAAGGTGAAAGTGATATCAGGCTGCTATTTTTCAATGGTGTAACAGACTTGATTTGTAATCATGTGGGCAATGAGATCGCCTTGGAACGGCTTAATTGGAAACACCAATCTGACTGGACAAAGGCGACACGAACAGCTTGGAAATCTAAGTCACAGGCGGGGGACAAAATTTCAGGATACATCAAGGAATTCAACAATCTGCTATATCTAAAAGTTATGGATTCTGGCCACATGGTCCCAATGGATGTGCCTGAAGTGGCATTGGATATGATGCGATTGTTTCTTTATGGTGGCCAGGGAGCCTTTCAGTACAGTCCCCAAAACTTGGACAGGTTGGCGAATACTGACAGACAATGTCCTTCTTGCCCGGTCTGTGCAGCAAACATCACAAATATTGAGATTGATGCTCGGAGTGGTGCTGAAACAGGTGGTGGCAATGATGACAAGTCTGCTGCGGACAATATAAACCTATTGGTTGGACTGGGGTTTGGAGCAGTGGTCATTGTTGTCGCTATTGGCCTGCACCGTCGATCAAAGTATGGAAATCACAGCAATGTTTCCACCTATGATCTGGAAATGAGGGGAGGCACCTACTTTGATGACCCAGACACTAATGGTGACAAAACGGCGTCGAACTTTGGTGAAAGATAAGAAACGTTGATAATGAAGAATCAGGGCCAATTGGCCAAGAACCTCGCCCAAGTCACTGCACCCGACCGGTACCACCAGACTAGGATCAATCGAAGAAATTCACCATCTACCCGTATTTCAAATAACCTAACCTATTATCAATAAAAGTGGACAGCTTTTATTCAATTACAGTCTCTTCGTTCTATGCAATAAATATCGGGCAGAATCGCCTCAGCTAAACTTCAATTCCCCATGCCCGCCCAATGTAGGTTTACCCAGCGCACACGATAAAAGCTTCCTTCACTTTTTTGTGATCAAGAAGATATGTACCGGTGGCACGCACTCACAGAGATTTAAATGTCAAAGTACGAAGTCACGAACTCGGAAAGTCCAGTAGTCTTCCCCGGAGAAAAGTCGGCTGTAGGGGACACTGGCGTGTTCGTGAGCTCGGACGTGTCGATCCTCGCTCGAGACATAGAGGCACGTTTCCCAACCTGAGCCGCCAGCACAGAATAGTTGGGAAGTGGTGATGTCGGTGGGTTGCTTGTAAAGTCAGATTTTTCAACCCCAGCACGTCGTTGTGCTTCCCTTGCGATCAACTGCTCTTCAAGTTCTCGCGACGCTGTCCTGATGAAGGTTGAGTTCGCAGATGCGCGCCGTTGTTTTCTAGTTGAGCGGCGCTTTCGTGGGGTGCCACTCGAGGAGCGCGGTGTACGTGGTGTGCCACTACAAGACTGCGGCGTTTTTGGGTTACCACTCGCAAGACGTTGTTTTCGAGGAGTGCCACTTGCGGAGCGTCGTCTGATTGGGGTAGTCGAGCAATGTCTTCGTGGGGTGGCGCTAGTCGAGCGAACTATCGGTGGATTGGCGCTATTGGAGCGGCCACGGCTCCTGGAGCGACGATTTCCACTTGTTCTCGGGTTGCTTCTGGATCTACTACGTCTCGAACTACTTCTTCCTCTGACTGGCAAGACCATGCCGTTGTACTCCACATGACCCCGATTGCGATGTTGAAGTGTATCCTCCATCGACGGGGACGTGAGCGCTGAGATGTTTGTCAGCCCAGTGGTCGTCCTAACGGGATCAATTGTGATAATGCTTTCGTGCTGCCGCTCGATCCCAGAAGACCTCTTTCTCGGTGTTTCGGTGAAGTCGTTCTGTCTTTCACTGCCAGGTGTACAATGCTCAAGAGACCCAGATTCCTTGGGCCAAACAGGATGGAAATCAAACTCGTTGCTGTTTTGCCTAGAGCTGCGCATCAACATCCTATTACGAAGCGGTGTCCCAAGTTCCTCGTCGACTTCTAGGGAGCGTTCATCACTTTGGGTTGAGGCCGTGTTTTCCGTGACAACCGTACCACTGGATACTGGTTGTGATTGAGTGATCGTCTGTTTACGAGCGGCCTCTTTGGCAACAGCGTGCTTTCTGCGTTTGCACTCTTCGGCAAGATCGGCCCGTATACGATTCGAATCCATTTTTGCACAGAGCATGCAACAGCAAACCCAAAAGACACTTGCAGCAATGCAGTATATGCTGCCAATGTCAACCTTGCAGGTGTTGGTCTCGCAAATGTCCGTGTCAAAGAAGAGGAATGACAGCGACTGAAAGCAGTACGCAAAGAGGTATCCTGTCCCAGTTGCACGAAAGTTGATGGTCCGCCAGCACACAGTTGTACTCACGGCAAGTGTTAGAACAAATCCAATCATGATGGAGACGGAGGCAAACACGGCTGCGAGCTTCAAAACGGGGTCATCAAGGTCCTCGTTGGTAGCCAAAGGCACAGGAAAGCATCCCACTCTCGAAGGGTCTCTGATGGTGCTAGCAGTCTCATTGTAGCAGATTTGAGCATTGATCACTCCAAGCGAAGTGACATCTTCGTAGATGGCTCCAACCTTCCATGGTTGTTCCAGCCTTACAAAGTTAAGACTCTGTCTGCTGAACACAGCAAGCCCCAACCCAATCCATGACACGAAGATCGACAAGAAAGTCCACAAAATTCCATGCGGCAAACATCGAATGTGATGCCGCTTGGGCGGTTCGTCTTCGTCTTCCGCTAAGATGTTATCGTTCTGTGACTCGGCTCCGCCCGAAGTCTTGTTCTCATAGTGATTTGCAATGTACTGGGGCAAGGCAAAGCTTTCATGAGGATTTGTACTTGTACTGTGAGTATTGTTGGTGCAAGGAGACGAGCCATCGCTGACGTAGTAATACCATGTCGGCTTTCGAATTGTGCCATGAGTACGACCAGATTGTGGTTCCTGAGACTTTGACAGAGACCGACTTCTCTGTCGGCTTCTCCGTTCTGATGATCTTCCTCTTGTGGTGGCGAGCCTGAGGGTTGGGTCTACCCTGGGAGACGATCTCGAAGTTGATCTATGGCCAGCCTCCACGTGAGGAAGACTGTCCTTGAGAGCTCTAGCTAACGCCATATTTGCGTTCGGTAGATGCTGATGCTGGACATTATCTACTCCATTAACCGACGTTGGCAATGCGGAACAACTAATGTGTTGAAGGAAACTTTCGTTATTGTTGGCGTCCCAAGGATTTGGTTTCGAGGATTCATGGTTGGCGCCACAGACTGCCATATCAAGGCCAAAGCCTGAAAACCCTGATGGGTCCGACATCGGTACCGTCCGCCTTCTTCGAGCTTGGCAGTAACAGCAAAAGGATACCGCTGCACGCCGTGCCCTTGCCACTTCCTCTACAACAACAAAGAAAAAAGAATAGAAAGTCACAAACAATCTTGCAAGTGGCGAGTCCTTTTTGGTTGCTCAAAGCCAAAGTCGCCTTCGATTGGCAGGAGACTGCGGCGATGAGCATCGCTAATCGGGACAACCAGGAAGTCGCCAAAGGAGAGGTTTCTTGGCCTCATTAGCCGCCCCGTGGGAGTGGCGTTGCTGCCTCGCCTGGATTCGATCGGTTTATTCGTGGATTCACGGGACTTGATTGGGTTCATCAGGGCCACAAATCCCAAACATCAACATTTCCAAGAACTTGGTCGAAATTCTGTTGAAGACGACTATCTTTAGAAGGCCCATGGTGCAAAGCCGTCTCGAACCAGGCTTTGCCTTAGCCACTAGTGTAGCTTGCGAGAGAAACACCTTGAGCTTTGGGGTCAAGAGACTTTGATCCACAAGACGATGAGGTCTCCCGAGCATATCCACAACTCCACAATCACAACTTCGGTACGTTGGATCCAAGGAGAGTGACAGTCAGCGGCCATGAGGAGTCCAGTCGAGTCGAGTCGAGTCTGACTAAGTTGGATGCATTTTCCTTATGTTCTCTCCTCGACAGGTATCGATAAGAGTAACACCTGTTGACGACTTTTTGGTGTCGTGGAGTGTCCTGTGGGGCTGTTTTGTTCTGACGTCTATTGTGGCTGCATATCAAGTTTGGGCGGATCACAAGATAACATCCAATCGGCAAGATGACATTGAAAATGGCCGCGGAGGAATGAGCGGGGACGAAGGAGTCAGCACTGCAGATGTGACAAGATCCATGGTAAGACTACCATTGTGAACATATTTTTGGGTATCCATAACTGCAGCTTTCCTGTTTCTTGACGGTCAACTGATGCATGGATTTTCCTTATCTATTTATCGCTTTCAAAGTTCCGAAGGTGGCTCTTTCTGGCAATGCTAGCTAGAGTCATCCTGATGCCGGTTCAAATATGGGCAAATCCTCTTGTGTGGCAATTTGTGTCAGACACACTCCCGGAAATGATCTTTGCCTCGGCTTGGACTTTGTTGGTGAGCTTCTTTGTTCAGCTGGTCGGGGTAGCATCTGGAAGCGGAACCAGTACAAGCCCTGGCACTGTCATCCAGATCACAGCCTACATTGTTTATCTCTTGCTGGTTGGCCTTTTCTTTGTCAACAACGTGGCATCGGTGCTTCTGTATGCCCTCTTGTGCTGCATTTATGCTGCACTCTTTGGAACCTGCGTTTACTTTTGTCCGCGACTATTGATACTGCTGAAACCCAGCTTGCAGCGGTACTCGGGATTGGCAATCCGGCTAGCTATCTGCAGTTTCCTTTGCGTTGCGGTGTTTGTTTCCCATACAATCGGTTATGCGGTGAACATTGTGGCGCCCCCACGAAAGGTTTACTGGTGGTGGAACTATGGCGCTTTAGAGTTGATACCATCTGCCCTTTTCCTGCTCTTGATGCACCCCAATCCAGGAGCACGAGCATCAAGCGCCTCGACGCAACAACCATCCAACAATGGAAACAAGGCCACAACCACTAGCGGCGCAGGTTTTCGACGAATACCCTCATCTGCAGGGTCTGCTCGGAGATCCGGGGAGACGACGCCACTGTATTCTCAATCTCCTGCCTACGGGAGTGCAGTCGCTGACGCAGCATCATGAGCTTTCCTTTCTGCTACTGCCACAGCGCTGTTTTCGATAACGGTGCAAGGGCTTCGCGGGCAGAGTGACCGGCATCATCAACTGCTCGTGTTGCCTGGGTCGACATCAAGAATGTTCAAAGCCATGAATCAATCGAATCTTTTAGGGATCTATTTGCTATTTATACAAGATTGTACAAACGTTGCCATGAGTATCTAGCCACTGCAGCAAGCGAAGAAGGAGCAGAACTTTATGAGGTGCTTGTACACCTTTCACGTGAATAGTTGCAGCGTTGCAGCGGTAATTGATTGAATCATTCTGCTTCACTATCGTACCCAACCCTGGCCATGCAATCTCCTACATGGTGGCTCGCTAGTAGTAGGAACAGCTCGTGGCCTGCTCGAGCAGCCATGCTGCAAGGCTACTAGCTAATAGAGGTGGATGCATTCAGATGCAGCCCAAACGTTCTCGGTGATGTCGCTAACCCGAGTTCTGAAATACGAACGTTTTACACCGGGTCAAGTCGAAACATTGAGTGCCTAGCCATGACAATCTTTTTTTGCTTTTTCTAGCTAGGCATACATTTTCTATATGATTCAATCAACAAAGATTTTGCTAATTTCTCCCTGCCAGCCATTTAGCCGACGGGTTTCGTTTAGATTACAATTTCGCATAGCTTGATCAGCTGTTGTGCTGTGTACCAGCAGTATGAAGCTGGCTAGATGGTTGCTAGCGGTACAGTAGCTCTTGACCATGACTGGTACAGTCGTACCGTACGGTACCAATTACTACGGTAACGGTACGGGACCGGGCGGTCCCGAGACAACCAAAGCGAAACAATGGAATTTCCAGCTCAACTGTCTTTTACTGTCAGTAAACTGCCCTCTTCTGTTTTTGAAGATTCTGGGTGACATCAGCTTCACTCCAGTATTTGTTCCTGGAACTGACACACCACATCATCATACACAAACGTCTTCACTGTCAGGCAACGCCGAGAGCAAAAAGCTTCTGTCATACGGCATGTTCCTCACAAAATGACATTGTATGACAACATCACTATTCTTCTAGTAGCTAGTTTTCAGGGCTAGTTGACTTGAGCAGTGATACGAGTGATCTGTATTCTTGGTACTTTTTCTTGCTACTTTTTCTTGCTACTTTTTCTTGCTATTTTTTACCCCAACCGACCCACAATGACGAGAGGAATTGGCATCCAGCGAGCAGTGGTGTTGTTTTCCTTACTGGCGCCTGCAACGAGTTTCTTGCATTATCGACCACAGCAAGGACAGCGGTCGTGTCGGGTTGTACCCCCACAGGCAGTTTTTTCAGAGGATAATGAGTTTGGCGGCAGGTTCAGCATGGAATCACTGCGATCTCGCCAGGCACAGCTGGAATCTGCCAAGTTTTCTCAAGAAAAGAAATGGCGTGATGCAGACTGCGAATCTGGAGTGAGGGTGTCCCTGACGGACTGGGTGAGACGGCTCGATGTTCAGTACCCTCTGGCAGCCTGTGGGACTTCCTCGAGTACCATCTACCTTTGTCATTTGGAAACAGGAGAAATTCTAGCTAAAGGAGCACGGCGTCCCGACACGGCGAATGAAATTGAAAATCTCGACAAAGCCTTGTACCACATGTATGGAGAATATGATGGCGGAGGCACTGTTGCCATTGCCTTCCACGAAGACTTGATTTGTGAGGCTAGTCGAGATGGTAGCGTCCATTTTTGGCGCTTGGATGCTGGATCCGCAAGGCTAGTTTATCAGGGAGCAATGAAAGCGCTGGAAGGAACTTTTGTTACGGATTTGAAACTGGACGATGAATTTCTGTGGGTAGCAAGTGCCGATGGAAAACTTCGGGCCTTTCCACTCGATAGCAACATGCCACTGGCACTACAAACTCAACCAGAACTGGAGTGGCAGTTTTCATCAATGCTCATCTCCCTGTCTTTGACGCCTGATATTGGCTGTGGAGTGGTGACCACAGTAGGTGGCACAGTGGAACTGATTTCTCTAGAGAACGACGGTCGATCTCTCTGCTCTTTCTACCCACCCTACGACGATGACGACGAGGAGCACACTTCAGTTCATGCCATGTGTGCTCAACTTGTCGCCCATGAAGAGGACGAGGATGGGGAGCTGCGATACTCCATTGCAGTTGGAGGCAATGATGGGAGTCTGATTCTGCAACCCATTCAACTGGACGAGGATGGAGAAGTCGACGAATACAGGCCGTTTATGGGATCGCTTCGTAGATTCAAGCCCCGTCACAAAGGCCCTGTGAAGTGCGTTGCTAATCCAATTCCTGGAATGTTGATCTCAGCAAGTGAAGACGGCAGCATGCGTGTTTGGGACATTGAGCAAGCTCATTGTCTTTACCAGTTTGTCGGCTACAAAGTTTGGATGGGAAGTTTGTGGACCGACGGTTCGCGCATTGTCTCTGACGGCAGTGACAATACAATTATTGTACACGACTTTAAGAAACAGGCAGGCACTGTGGACATGGAAGAGGACGACATGGAAGAGGACAGCTGGAGTTAGAGGAAACAGGTGTGAAGGGTAGCTACGAGGTGGCGTCGATTTTGCTCTACGGTAGACTTGGAGATGGACATTCAAACATCTTTGTACAAAGATTTAGTTTGTACATAGTTTCAATAATCGCATAGTATATCGTTATTTATTTGAAAGGTTTCGTGACTGTATGATTTCCATCAACTTCATGTTTTAGAAAGCAGAGTGCTGGCTAGCTAGTGTCGGTGTTCCTGGAAGCGATAGAAATACATGAAACTTGAGCAAACCAAGACAGTTCCAGTCGCGCTTGGTTCACCACCACTATGTTAGGATGCCACAAATAGCCGCCCATTGCGTTGCTCTGAATGTTTCGATGGTCCTTATTGCTAGGTTTTTTTGGGGTATACGAGCAGACCTACACAGGTAGTACTGGTTTGCGTGCTAGCAGGCAGCGACATCGAGCTCACTGCAGCGATGAGGACGATGCAATGGAACTAACTTCCACTTCCATGATCAGACTTTGATCGAATCTTTGGGCCATTCGTCTTTGTTGTGCATAGGTTGCAGGGAATGGCTGTCGTGTGGTATCAAAGCAGGCTTCTTGTTCCACCATTGTTGCAGTTGGAACTACCACATAATCCTTGATAAGATAAAGAGATGACGGTGGATATTGCATTACCATGAGTCACTGAAGTGCACATGCTCACATTTCTACTACTAGGACCAACGACAACAAACAATTAGCCCACCAACAACGCTATGAAACGTACCGTTCTAAGGTCGCCTCCTTGCCCTTGGCCCCCTGGGCCTCCATCACACTGAGCGGTTGGTTTGCGCCAACCCTTTTGCGGCAGCACAGCGATGCGGCGAATGCCCCCTTCCTTCATTCCAATAAGGGCTTCATTGAGTGCTACAACGTTGCTGAATGCCCCGACTGTTGTTATGAAAGATTTGTCACCAGGCTTCTTTTCGTCATCTTCCAAACCTGGGTAGAATGTGCATGGGGGCAAATCAAATAAATGAGAAGAGGCAACATTGGAGAGAACATTGTGGTTGGCTGATTGAATCGACACGACCCACCATAACCTCTGGAGAAAACCACCGTGCCTTCTCCTGACAATCCATCATATGATCTTTTTCCAAGCTTCAGCACTTTGTAGTACAGCGTGACTTCATCGCCATCCTTGACAACCCCCCCATTTCCTTCCTGTTCATCTCGATAAATGACTCCACCTGGTGTTTTTTTGGCAGGGACTCGACTTCCTTCAGCTGTTTCCCTTTCTTCTTGTTCTTTTCGTTCGGCCATGGCTTGGCATTCCTCCACATTGGTACATTTGGGTTTTCCACTGGAAGGTTTCATGGAGGAAGGTGGGGCTACTCCCTTGACCAAGGCAGACGCAGATTCAGCACTCAACGTCACTGCAGAAGCAATGGCCGTGGTCAATATTTGCCGCCGAGATTGCAAGGAATCCTCATGCTGCCCGTTTTCTTCAGCAGCATTCAGCACCAGTGATTGCTGGTTTGTTCGTTGATGACGCCGTTGGCAAGACAACGGCCGAAAAGAAGAGGCGTCGTGGAACAACAAGGCGGCTAGCAGAAGCAGTAATTCCATCATGGATATGTGCAGGCACTAGCAAGTATGCTGGAAGATGCTGGGTACCTCGCTCAAGGGCGCCGATTGACGAGAGATTCGATTCTGATTATGATTCAAGGATCGAGGATGCTCCGTTCAGTGTGTTGTTTTTCTATTCAAGGGTATCTTACTATGCTGATGCTGTTAGAGGGAACGGTGTTGGGGTTGTCGGTTGTGGGCATCGGCCATGGTTGTGTTTTTGGTGTCACGAAATCACAAATCACAAAGATACGGTGCGTGACTCATTGGATCTTTCGACACGTCAGTGACTGACGCCAGAGCAGAGGTGACTTAGCCAATTTCCTTCACGCTGCCACAATTGAGACTTGACTTGACTCGTCACTCGAGAGAGGCCTTGGACCCGACAACCTCCTTCTAACAAACATCACGACCATGAAGATGCTGAAAGCAATTGTAACGTTGGGAAGCTTAATATCGGTTTCCAATTGTTTTGTGCTGCAAGCTTCCAACACAGCTTTGACAACGCAGTTGTTCTCGTCGGGTTCGGACTCATTAAAAGACTGTCAGTCCCCTTCACATCGCGCAACGTATTCGAATGATTCAAGCCGACGTCAAAATCTTCAGAAACTTGCGTTCTTGGCGGCCTCTTTGACGCTGGGTGGTTCCCCTGCAATCGCTGAAGACTACGAAGCCCGCAATGCTCAGCGACAATACATACAGGAGAGCTATGCAGATTTCACCAAAACCAAAGAAGGTTGGCTCTACAGACAAGTGAAGCCTGGAAGTGGAGACAAGGCACAAGAAGGCGATCGAGTTGTCTTTGATTGGAGTGGATACACAATTGGATATTTTGGAAGACCTTTCCAAGCAAAAGGGTTCGTCAATGCTGGCTTTCATCGTTCATTGATTCTTTCCTTCTTGCACAATACAGACCATCACTCACACCTTTGCTCCATTTCTCACAAAAGTGGTCCTCAAGGGGGTGCTTTTGACAAGGACATTGATTTTGAAAGAACAATCATTGGCTCTGGGAAACTGATCAAGGGGCTGGAACTGGCACTGAACGATATGCAGACCAACGAAGTTAGACAAGTAGTAATTCCTTACGGTGCCTTGTCCTACCCCGAAGGTGACCCGTCACATGAAAAGGTTGGCCCAAAGCCTTCCACCTTCAGCGGAATGCGTGCTTTGGACTTTGTCCTCGATAATCCACGGCTTGATCGCACCTTGCTCTTCAATGTCAAGGTTATCCGGGTTGACAAGGCAAATGGAAAGGGTGGTTTCATTCGTGGCTAATTTATTTATATTGCTGCATTAGGCTTCTATTGCTAGCTAGCTAGTACTAGTAGTTCAGAAGGCAACTTGGTAAACAGCAGTCTAGCAGATCACAGGTAATGGTGCCAAGAGCCGGATGCCATAGTTAGTTGTGTCGCGCACAGCCAGTGCATTGTGACTTGATAGTATTGTAACAGTTGAGTCGGTCAGTACAATGAGCGATCGGTTAAAGGATGAATCTGAGCTTATTGGACAGGGCCTACGAGAGTTGCTGCAGCAGTAGGGATTGAATATGTTTAGTGCAAATCTCCAAGGGTGCTGAGAGGTTTGAACAATTTGAGTTGCCGAGGCAGAACCCTGGGCCACAGCACCAGGAATCGATAATAGAATAGCATCCCATGGATTGACTGTGTGACACCACAGCCCTGCATAGGAGAATGCGAGGAATGGGATCAGATTTCACCTTATCCTTTCGTCACCATGTTGCTAATTACGTCTCCTGAGACGACGCTCCTTTAGGTTACCCCCTCAGTTGCACTCTGAAATCGATTGGCTCGCGTTTACTGTGTAAATTAGTGTACCCGCACTTCAGTTGCAGAATCAACGGTCATGTGTATCCTTAAGTAACAGGTTCTCTTTCGAAAGATTTAGATCCATTCGTGGAATAAAAGAACCGTTGAAGTTACTAAGGTTAAGGATAAACTGTTCTTTATTCAAGCCGATCGATCGATCGAACGATTCGATTCCAGGTAGATCTAAGCTCATTATCAAGCCTGTTATTGAAGGTACAGCGCTGACTTCTCTCCCTCATTGGATTTCTATGGTATTCAGGAGATAAATCCGAGCTTGACCGTCAACAGGTGAGTTGTTTTAATTATCCGAATCGATCGATCTCTGTTATCCAAGCCTCACTCAAGCCGGTCGTCTCCGGTGTAGAAGCGAAAGCCATCCCTCATTCAATCCTATGGACCGCGGGAAGGCAGTCAGTTCTCGGCCCATGACGGCCAAGTTGGTGCAGTTTGAAAAGCAAGGGTAAGTCGCTGGTTTTCTTCAGTTCAGCACAGAAAACAAAACTCATATCTATTTGTTGTTTTCTCTGCTGCACTGCTGATTACCGAGGAAATCCCATTGTCAAGTCCATTTTGGTCGATCGATCCACCGCTCCGGATACGACAAGAGGAGAGGCTATGGCTACGGAGGATACTGTTAACTCCAGCCCTACCAACAGTCTGGACGGAGGAGATCATCATCGAGTCATTGAATTGCAACAGTTAACCGGAGGAGGCAACAACACACAAGAGAGTGGATCCTACTACTGAATTCATCCCTCCAGTGTTATTTCCTAGTGTTTTGGTGGTGATTCCTATGTCATTACCCATTTTCCCGTGGGAACAGTGCTTGTGGAGCCTGGATTGACAATATTCTTGTATTCATTGTCATGGTGAAACATTGGAGCGTAGCGAGCAAAACCAAACCTCAGTGTGTTCGGTACTGTTGACACTGTCACCGATTGATGTAACTGCAATACACGGCTCTTAGCCTTATTCGCGACTCGATCCTAGATAGGGTTTGAGTTCGACTCATGACTGAGTCTCTCTCTCGTGAATGTCATTGAGACAGGGTTCTCAATGACCGCTCTAGTCATATAGGTTTGATGATGAACATCGCTCTAGATATTTAGCCAGCGTGGAGTACTTCCACGCTACTAGATATGCTAGACGAACTTCCACGCGTTTCCGTTTTGGATCGTGGAGGAGAGGATTGCTACCGAACCTCCTCATCACACTCTAATCTCCGCGGGAAGTTCAGATCTACGATCCTTTGTGTGGATCTCTCTCGTTGTTAGTTTTCATAGCTTTCTAATCCTCTCATAACTTTCATTCTCTCAAACTCAAAACACTCGAAAGATCTTACACTAGCTTTTAGCGTAGTGCATTTTGTTAACAAACACAATAGCTTTCAGCTACCTCAACCTATTCCTCACCATGAAGATTGCCAAAGACGCATACAACCAGCTTCGAGTCTAAGCTCGCGACAACACCAACCCTTCCTCTCCTCGACCTCGATCGAGTGACTGCTGAAATCGACGATTCTCGCTTACCACCTACAAACTCGCACTGTTCTAGCAGATGCTAACACTTGCCAAGTTACACCTTCAAGGTCCAAATACATCATGGATCTGAGACTCCACTCAGACCATCAAGTGGG